GCGCCCGACCTCACGACAGCAGTTGCAAGGCTTGCGAACAGCCAAAGATCTAACCGCCTTAACTGGGGGGAGGGGGCAACGACCGAAAAGATAATGGTGATCATTCCTCCATATTTTCTGTTAGCAAGGGAAATTATCGTGCAAGTGAACGTTATTCCTTCTCCTATTAGAAGTTTTTGGTTTTTTTCAGCTGGAAACGTTTAAGAAACTGCGGCTTGAGGAAATGCGCCAAGAGGTTGAAGCCAAAATGGCTGAACAGTTTTCTGCAAAACGACAACAGGTAATACATTTTGAACGTATTTTAAACTTAATGGAACTTATAGACAACTCTCATGTGTACTGGAAATGCGTCAACATCGTCAACCATATTCTTATTGATATCCTTCGTGGAGCGGATCTCTTTTTGCCCTGCATAACACTGTAAAATGGCACCTTCTAACTAGCCTAGACCTGAAGTCTTCCTCATACCACATGATATATTTATCTAAGCAACAACTATATCTTAGATCCTTTTCGTCAATATCTATCTTACAGAATCGTGACATAAATGAGAAAGATTCCAGCAAGCGCCTTATTTTCTCAAAATCTTGATAGCATTCTTTTGTAGATCACTCCAGTAATAATTGAAAATGTATTTAATAAATTCTCTCTTAATCTAATTACGTTTGTCCTCCACATGCTGATCTGTTTGAGACGGCTGCCCTTACAAGTCTGACATTCGCTCGGGCATGTGAAATGAAACATAACGCTTGACAATATATTTTCCGTTAACGTCTCCTACCTTCAGTTCAATGTTGAAAAAAGCTGATGATATTTCGTATATAAAGCATTTAGCGCGCATTGAGCTTATCGAAGATAACTTGACAATCTTTCATATCAGATAATTCGATGCTGATACCATGTCGCTGTAATGAGCCAATGTCATTTTTTGTTGAAGCGATTACTAGTCGTACTTGCGTACTCGCAAATACCAATAAGAAATTGGAGGCCTAAGTTATTGATCTGTTAATCCAATTAGGCAAGTTGAAATACCTCGTTTAAGCGTTCTTGTCCTCCCATCGTCACCTATTGTCTTAGTTAAACGTAGAATTTAAGCAAATTCAACGACAATTCTGCACAGATCCCCCCCGCAAATTGCCTGGTAGGGCTTCAATGCTTTTCTGATCATTTATGGATCTTGCCACTTTAAGGTAGACTGGGGGACCGCCTTGACTGCCGTGATCTTTCGGATACTAAAAACAACCACAAAAGGAATAAGGCTACCAATAATATTTTTTTATTTTCACCTCTTGCATTTAGTTGGAAGCCCTACATACCGCAGAACGGGCACGACTCGACGAACGCGAAAGACATCTGAACGAACTTTCACAGAAGTCTCGCGAAGTCGGTGAGCGGACCGCCTTCCTACAGCGCCAAGCCCTTGAAGCGGAGATCCAGGCGGCTCGTGCCCAAACGGAAAAAGCTAGAGCAAGGGAAATGGAACTCGAAAGGCCAGTAATTAATTTATCAAAAAAGAACGACTTACAAGGTTTAAATAGCAATAATTTATTACTGCACACTCTTATCTGTAGTAGATACTGTGTAAACGTAAGTGGTGGGTTAGCAATTAATGCCTTTTGGTTAATGAACTGTTGTTCCTCCAGCATATAATCAGATTTCTTTTCAATTTCTAGGCAAAGACGCAAAATGCAGGAAGATTGGGAACGAAAAAGGATGGAGTTAGAATCGGAGGGCAATCAGTTGCTTGAAAAGAAGCAAAGCTTTGACGAGATCGTCCGACAAGAGGTGGAAAGGTATGAGGGTTTAGGGCGGAATATATAATTTTTAAAACAGTGTTCGTAGTTAGACCTGACTACGCATCCACAGTGCAGAAATATCTCCAGATCTGCCTCTCTCGTAGAACAAATTTTGCAATTTCACTTTTTCATTGCTTTTGTGGAATTTTTACCTTACGGAGCAATTTTGATTCATAAGTTTCGTTTCTAAATTTCTTCCTATTTGTTATTAGCTAGAAATATGCGTCTCTTTTGTCGGAGCCCGCTCTTTTCGACACAGAAACCATTGCCCTAAACCCTGCGTTTGGAGAACTGTGCTACGAAGTTGAACAAAATGTAGCAGTGGTTTTTATGAATCTAGATTTTAAGGTAGCCGGTACGGAAACGTTCCCATGTTTTAAAGTTATGGAAACTATATCAGGACATATTTGTTAGGCTTTTGTCTTAATGACCACGCTTATCACTTGTGAATTTATGTCCGAATTTTCCGAAGTTCTGCGCAGTGCAGAAACGGCGTCATGATATCTTCTCAAATGCGACCTCATAGTAGAGGAAAAATCTTGCCGCAAGTGCGAGATACCGGCGATGGTAACAAACAAAAAGATCCGTTGACAGAATGCACCGGTATGTAGGTGCGGAATAACGGGTTGCCAGTCTGTTCGATTAATAGGAAAGGAGAATTAAGTCTTCTATAATTGTAACTCCAACGGCAGGCTCCACTGTAATTTGAAGTTCTGTGAAATGTTAAGGATAGTTTATATCTGGATCACAAGAATGCCACTGGAAGAAAATGCCGAAGCTTCCTGGTAGATCCCCGAATACCGTGGTTGACTAATTCAATTATTACCGGAAAGTCTGCTCCAAAATGTTATCTGTCGCTAGGATATGAAGGCTAAAACGATGATGATCCAATACAGAATTCTCAGAACAATGGCTCGCGCATTGCTGAGAGTTTGGATTGTATTAGGGTATCGATACTTCTTCAGACACAAGCGAGATGTAACGGAGTTGATCCCTCCCATCAAAAACGAAGAAAAAGCAGGTTCAAAAGCACATTTTTACAACTGTTCAGCTTATTGGGGACTTACTCAGTCTGGGTAATAACAGAGAAACTTCAATCAGCAGGAAGATTACGTTTATCAGAATACAGATGTGTACGCCCAACAAATCGAGAGAACTTAGAAATTTTTAAGAAAAATCTTAGAACTCCACAACATTTAATACTTCTGAGGCACCTGAATGAACACTCTTGACGTGTTTTAAAAGGAGGCGAATACCGCTTCGTAGCCCTCTTATGTGATATAAAAGAAATATGTGGCGCTTAATTTTTTTATTTAATTTATAATTTAATTTTCGCAATATAGATGACAAACTGAAAATCTGAGAATAATTTCTAACCAGTACATATTAGGATATGAATTACGCTATAGTAACATCGCCTTCGGTCAGCTTCTCTAAGTGTGTCGTTAGGGAATTTCAGTGATGTCAAGTACCATCTACCAATCCACAAACGTAATTCTATAAGGACTTGCCTTGCTTCGCTGAGACAGGTTCTGATTGCTTTTTTTCCCCTTATAATATGGACCAAGCATTTACTCACAATTCAAACATATTTTGGTTGACGACTTTTCTAGAACTTTCCTTATAAAGTTAAAGTTAAGGGAAAGTCTTCTTGATCCTTTTATCGAAGGGAAAGAGCAAAAAATGGCAGCTTGTATTATTAAAAAAGAAGCTTGTTTTATTCAAAATTCACCTGGTTAATAATCAGAATTTGACATTAGATATCTGCCTTATTGTTTAATTATAGGTTGGCAGGAGTCCTTGGTTGATCTCCCGTCAATTTCAGCACTTTTCCTAAAAAGTATATCATTCATACTGAAAGAGCAGAGTGTACAGGTAGCCAC